CAATTACCCGAAATGAAACGAGTCTTGTACGTCGCGAAATAATCGAATTACTCGCGGACAAGATCTACAACGTCGATACCCTCCATAATATGTTAACTGTCTTTAGTCGTACCCGAAAGCACCAGAGCCGAATAGATTCGCCATTGGTGGGCTCTGCGAGCGTACAGAGTTCATATATTTTGCTGCCTAGCGAAATAGAACAACAGGAAACGAGAGGGAAGAAGAAAGAGGAAAGAGGAAGAGGCGTGGTAGGGGAGAGAAGGGTTTGAAGGAGAGAGAGGAAGAGTTGCACGTTATCCAGCTGCAGCCTGAGAAAAATGGCCCGTCTCGTAGTTTCTCCCTCTCGTACCGAAAAATCCGCGCTGGCCGATAAATCAGATCGCGTCGCGTCTAAAACCGATGGTGCAACTTTTGTCCAATAACGTGATACGTAAACGTTCCGTATACACGCCCTAGCTAAAACCCAGACCGACTCGATACATGTGCGCGGTACTTCGGAATCGCTGTTCCATCTCTGTTACATCCACCTTTTTACACACTCCTACATGTCTCCTCTGTTCTATTGCTCATGAGAGATAGGTTCTTTCTGCGTAATTGTCTCTTGGCACGGTCTCTCTTCAAGCGAAGTACTATAAGCACTTCGATCTTCAGCGTTTCGTGGGTTAGAAGATTTATTGATTTTCAGAGTGATTTTGTTGGAGTGAGAGTTTGGTATTTGTGTGTATTTTCTGTATTTTCTAAATTGTTTAAAGCTTTATAACGTGATTTTTATTCGTTCACGAGAAGAAGAGTTACGGTTGATTGCAATTATACAGTTTGATGGGAGGAGCAAGAATTAATAATTATTACAAAGAAATCGGCTGGTGACAACAGTATGACAGTCAGCAAATAAGACGAGGCATAAAAAATATATAAGTGGATACGTACCTTCCAAGTGACACGGCGTTATGGAGAGTTAACCTGTTAAGAAGTTTCATTTTATACTCAATTGAGAAGTTTAGAACCAAAAGAATTATGAATGTGAAAGAAAATCGAAGAGTCAAGTACTAGATACAATTCCTTTTGTTCTCTAATTAAAGCTTCTAATAAAACTTTTACTTATATCTAAAACTGTACACCTCTGCATACTCGTCGCCAGAATATTCTGAAAAATTGCTCGAGCGATTGAGTGAAAATGGAAATTACAGCGCTAAGAAATTCCACGTTCAAGAATAACAATGACAATTCATTCTCGTAATAACGAAAATGAGAAATTGCTGAAACGAGAATTAAAATTCAAAATAATATTTCCTTTCAATAAGAAGAAAAATGCCTTTCATCAAGTTCAACGGATATTCTTTCAACGTCCATAATCGCATTTCTTTACGGAATAATGCTTCCCCGAGAACGTCTCGTGAATTGCTTCTTTTATCTGGCAGGTGGAATCACACGGAATCGTTCGGGGACGCGGGCCGAGTCCGTATTTCCGGTTGTCTCCGGTCCTCCTGAAGGATTTCGCTCACGTATTTTTAACCTATATCATTTTCCCGTCCAAAACGTCATGCGACCTGGCACACCGGGGAAGAAAAAAAAGTCTAGCTCGTCTCGCGTTATACGTATTCCGTCATTGGGCTCGGTCTCACCGGGACCATACAGACACGATTCTTTTTTACCGCTGATCTTCGCCATCAACGTTTCCTCCCTCTCTTCTTTTATCAACGGCGAGTATACACTGTGTCATGGGTACATTCTTGTTTTACTCTGACATATTATTACGCGAGAAATAATGAAATTTAGCAGGGGCTGTGAATATAAATTTCAAATGTAAAACGTTATTCGAAGAGATTCATAGTTAAAAGTTAGATGAATTCTAGATTCTTTTAGGCGTGCAGTGTGGTATATAGGGTGGGCAACGTGAAACAGGCTAATTATCTTCTGAAATTATGGTGGTACGAGAACATTTTTATACGTAATTTAAATGGTTTCAAAGGGTGAACAAGATGGAAGAAGTGGCGAGGAATGAAAGGGAGTCTCATGTTTGATTAAAAATTTTAGAGTTCGAGGTCATTTCTGTTCCAGCTGAAATTTTTCACATTATCAAAGGATCTCTTCGTTTATGCAGTAATCAAGGAAATAGGGTAACTCGAATATAAAACATTTTGCAAAAAATATATCACGTAGATGGTTGTTAATCTTGTTGTGTATAAAATTTATTTAATACCACGAAACTAAATCCGTATAATTCTCAATGCATTTTATTCAAATCCGCCTAATACTGGCGGTATTACTTACCATTGCAAAATTTAACTGAAACCGCTTTATAACGATCCAGATTTCACTGTAATTTGCATGATGATTTTGCCGTGACAACGGGATAAAACTAGGTATTACAAAAGCGTATCTCCCAAACTGTTGCAAAAAGGACGAAAGAAAAGAAGCTTCGGCGTACGTGGACCACGTTATCATACGAAGATTTCACAGGTCCTTCATTTACATATTCTCAAAACTTCTATCCTCTCATGGTTCCCACGGAGATCACGGTTTTAAACGTGTCCATTCTCGCTCTTCCTTCAATTGCCCACGGATTTCCGCGCAATCTGCAGGCGCACGATAAAAATGAATCGCGGTTGCTCTTCGCAGGCGTTATCTATAGGGTGTCGGGGACTCAGCACCCATCAGAAGGAGCAAATAACAACGATTAAATAAAGAGGACGCCTTGATATTCCCGCTTGATCCCTCAAATTTTTCTTCAGCTTCCACAATTGGGGTTCGTCTACGACCGCACGAGGCGATGATGAGGATGACGATGAAAAGAAGTGCGACGTTAGAGAGAGAGAGAGAGAGTTGTGAAGTGCGCTTGAGACATTTGAGGGTGAAAATCAGCGCAGGACGGTTGAATGTGGGATCTTGGCCATAAAAGAGCAAATAAAGAGGGTACCTTGGCTATATGCTCAGAGTCCCGGTTTACGTGTCAAAGGTCGTGGGTTCGATTCTCTAGCTTGGTCCCTCAAACGTTTTTTCGGCTCCTACAATCGTGGGTTTGCCCAGAATGCAGGTATCTAGGGCCATATGAGGCGGCGACAAAGACGGCGAAAAGAAGCATACGACGTTATAGAAAGAGTGCGAAATGCACCGAAGACATTCGAGGGCGAATGTCAGCGCAGGAAAAGAGCAAATAAAGAGGATGCCTTGGCTATGGGCATCAAGATTCAACTTGTCAACTGGAGATCCTGAGATCTCAAATCTTTCTTCTGCTCCCATATCTACTTCACAAGTCACTCGCTATTTCGTCGAGAAAGAAGAAGACGGCGAAATTACAACAAAACTCGGCGAATTTAATCAACGCATCGAAGAATCATTTAAAGCTGTACACAGCTAGAGGGAGCACTTTCGTTTCGTTTCGAAACCAACGACTCAGATTTCACCTTGCTCTTGGACCAGCTCTATCGCGTGAACGAAGAGAGGAGAAAGACGGAATCGTAACGCGACTCGAAAGAAAACGGGAAGGAAGTATAAAAACGTGTGCCGTACTTTTACGAGTCTTCCCTACTTTTGCGAGTAATGTCCCAGGCATATGGTACTGTGACAGCTGTTACCCCTTTACGACGCCCGACCACCCTTTTCTAACTCGCTGCCCGTCCGGTATTCTTGCCACGCGTCCCGAAATCACCAGCTGCTAAAAACGTGCATGCGAGACGAAAATGCTCTCTACCCCTCTGTGTTTCCTTCCGGTTGTACCACGAGCGAGACACTGCTACACTACGCGAGAGAGAGAGAGAGAGAGAGCTACTCTAACCCGAGCCGCGCTTATATTAAACGTCTGTTCGATTCGCATCGAACGCCACACTCTTCCTACTCCGTCGATATTACTCGGCCGCATATCGAACAATAAACGCGAACGTTCGATGATGTTGTAACGCGGGGCAATTAGCATAACTGGATACGGAAATCGCGTAATATGAGTTTTCGGGAATATCGGCACGGGGTTGATACCGTGATTCATTTTAATGCACGCCGCGCTCACTATCGAGCTGTTAGCTTTAATAGAACGAACGGGTCCGGGGTAAACAGGAGGAACTGATCGAAAATTCTTGCGTGCTGTTCCGATACGTGCGTCGGACACTTCGCTAGTTTGAAACGAAGTTTCCCACTGTCGGTCGGTAGCCCCATTTCCGTTATTCGCGTTTCGATTACGAATGAAGGAAGGAGCCCGACGAGAATCAAGGGAAACTCATTCCTCGAGTTGGCCTTTATCAGACTCTGATGAGTTGCAAACAGCGGAAAGTTAAAGAAGAGACGGCATATTTTTCTTTCTGGTGTCGCGATAATGTCGCGAGTCGTTCTTTCTGTACGAGGGTGAGTTGATAAGTTCGGAAGGTATAATTCTCGCCGAATTTGTTTTTGCTTATTAATGAAAAAGAATTAACGAGCCGGAAGAGTCAATAGAAAAATGGTTGTCTTTTGTAACAATGTTGGATCACATTCTGCAAGTGTGACAGAGATGTTCTTGCGCAATATCCATCGTACAGTGTGGATCTCGCACAATGTCATTTCCACGTGTTCGACCAAATGAAAGAAAAGACTTAGGCCACTTAGGATGAACTTGTCATTTTCATTAAACAGATCAACCTAATTAGCAATTTTTCCGTGAAAATTCTTGCGTTCCTCGCTACGTGTAGTGAAATTTAAACATTTTATTACCATCTTACATTCTTTCTCCGAAGACACAACTTTCCTGCACCGTCAAATACACTTTACGGAATACGAAGAACGTCGTCTTCATTCGATTGCGCTTTTCCACCGAAAGTTCGCCGCTACTGCGTTCCTCGCATTGAAATAATCGCGCTTCAGCCAATTCTCTCCCCTCTAAAAGTTGTTTATTAGCCGCAGCCCTGTGCAAGTTTACCCGCCCATCGAACTTTTGTCCGAGTAATCGCGGTCCCGGGGCCGGGGCCGCTCTTTGACTGAATTAATTTAATCCCGGGGAAAATTTCGCTAAAAGCACGATGTCGAACAAGAAGTTAATTTAAATTCTGTCGAGGTATCGCGCGCTCATTGTGTTCAAAGCACTTCCGACTTTCACACTGATACTCCTCCAACGCTGATACGCTGTCCGCCGATATGTTCATAGCGTTCTCCATGCAATCCATTATCCAGAGAAAACACGCCCCCGGTATATTTTGGAAGTACGGCAGAATGAACTTTTCCCTCGCGCAACGTTTGTACCATTCGAGTGTCTCCTTCTCCGCGGCTTTGTGCTCGAGGACTTCGTCAAACTTCATCGATCTCCTTCGAACCCTTGGCTTCGCTGTCGTCCATGGTTTTTCCAAACCGATTTTGTACGTTTCAACGTCAATCGTCTTTTTCGTACCCAACGACAAGGTGCGAAGGTTGCTTTCCACTTCGTCGTACACTGTCTTCATCTTCTCTTCCTGCGAAGTTTCTTCTTCCTCGTGTACGTTGACTCGTGATTGGAGAATACCTCGAACAAGCTGAGTGTGCATTTAGTTTCGGTTAATTAAAGTTCTACGAAAGAAAGCGAGCGAAGAATTGATGCTTAAAATATAGATAATGAGGAATTAACGGAGTAAGAGGAATAAACGAACAAATCGCGATAATTTTGTGTAATTTAAAAAAGAAAGGCGCCTTGATATCCGGTCAGCTAAGTTTAATTGCGTTCAGGATGTTGTTTTATCGTTGTATCACTTTCTTCATCGATAAAACTACAATATTTAACGGAATAAACGAAGAATCACGTTAATTTTGTATAATTTAAAAAAGAAGAGCGAGTTGGTATCCGGTTGGGTAAGTTTAATTGGAACATCTGGCGGTAGCTTGGTAGAAAAGGACATTAATTCACTAACGGACATCCAATAGCTGCCGAGTGCTCTTTGGAGATCGATCACCGCATTTCCACCTGGTTCCTTGAACCCACGCAGAATACGAATTCTCAATAATTCGGGCAGGGCCTCGACATCACCCATTAGAGGACGATCGTGGGTATTTTTCCAAATACCATCGCCGTTTCGTCCGAATGGAAATAGCCAGTCGTATGGAATTGAGTAGGTACTACGTAGCAAGTCCCTTCTGTCGAAATTCGTTGGCTTCACTTGGTAATCCTAACGGTAGAAAAAGAAGAATACTTGGACTAATTTATTTTCTGTAAAAAAACCAATATTTCTTCCTTATCAAAAGTGTCATTGTTCTAAATTTTTCATCGTATTTTCACTATATTTCGACCTATTGAAGAATACGTGTTCCAGTTTTTCACTGTGTGCCGAAGAAACTCTTTAAATTCCTACATTCCCATCTACTGAAGAATAAATGTTCCCTTTTTTCGTTGGCCATGTTGATTTATAAAACGATTGCGACGAGAGACTATTTTCCAGTTCAGAATATTAATAAATTGTTTAACCTTCGGTATACACTATTTCTCGCTAGGAGAAACTAGTTTTTATTGCTTCGTTTCAAGCATTAAACTCTGAATATTAATTTTAGACATTAAAATGTTACGTCTATGTTATTAAAGTTTTAGAATTTCATTTCGTTCATCCTCTATAGCCGAAGATACGTCGTAAAACCGAAGTTTCCTAAGGGTAAATTTGAAATCGGTTGCTGACGGTACACAGAACTCTAGATTTACAACCCTGTGGCAATTCCATACCGTTGCCAAAGTTTTGTGTGTCGCGCGACGGACCAGGTATTAAACAACCCTTTCCAGAAAACGGCGCACTGAAAGGATGCTCGCGATATCTATCAGACACGCAGACTGGTAATTACAATTTTTTGGCTGTAGCCAATCGTAGCTATTTCCAGCAGCAAGGATTCGGTATCTACACTGGAGACACATTCGTCGAGAATGGGCCCCCAGAGAAATTCCAGAGTGTCGAACGATCGAGGTGACATCACATACTTAACATTCCTTAAGTATTAGAATTTATTGAACGTGAAGCAAATTTAATAAATCACAATAGGTGTTGTAATACTTACGGACGGCAGCGTACACGGACCACAAAAACTGTCTCCTTGAACTCCTTTCCTCAAAAATAATGCGATATTTCTTATTTGAAAAAAATATGTACCATTCTAAAGATCGCGTGCTTTGACACAGCATAAGATTAATACAGCTACCGAGGTAGTATTCAGGAAAATGGCATAAAACGTAACTTGAACGATAAAAACTGCGAAAGAAAGACCTAAACGTTTCTCAATTATCTCTTTTGAGATAAATATTGTCCCGAAGAAACGAGAGCCCCGAACAAAGCGTTTCAAACCCCCATTGTATCCCGTCGACTTCTTTCTGGTTCCAGCTCATTTCCAGAATTAAAGAAAACAGGCTCCACACAATTTCCTCCGCGTCCCTTTGATTTTCTCCGCGGCTAAATTCAGCGAATGCTTCGTTAAAACAAGCACCCCGGCAGAAACGCGAAGAACTGATAATAACTAAACGAAATAGGTTTGCTCCGATTATCTAACCGGAAATGACAGCGAGCTCTTTGATCGTGACTCAGTTCCCACGGGCTGATATGTAATCAAACGACGAAGTTGCGGTCGACGCGTGCCTGGATACAGAATCATACTCGTCTTGTCGTCGTACATCGCTACCAGCTCCTGCTGGTTCCTCTCGAACCGATGAATGTACTCGTAAGCTGTGAGATCTCGATTCATCGAGAATATTCTGTAGCTTAGGTTGTCGGTCTTGAAACGGAGTCTCTCGTGACGGCAAATATCTTCCAAGATTTCTTCCTCTTCGTCCGATTCTCCGCCCTGTCCCTCCTGTTTCCTTTGTCGGACAGTGTCTATGCTCGAGCTTCGATTCTGACGTTTGGTCGTGTATGTTCGGGGACAATAATAAGTAGATCCGTCGCTCTTTACTCCGAATACGTTTCCATAGACATCCACGGTCGTGAATATAACTGATGATTCGAAGGGGGAGAAGCTGTAGGTGGATGTTGACTGGCTGCCGCAAGTGGCACACTGGTTGCCTTTCAACGACAGAGTGTCTTCGTCGATCTAACGGGAAGATATTTTTCGTGGAAGTTAGCGTTTGTTTGATATGTTGAGTAGACGTATGGTACGAAATGCAAGTTTCAAGCGATGAAGGAAATGTTGAAAATTCGATTTATAAATAATAATTTTTCGCAGTACTGTATATCTGTAATTATTCGTTTTACAGGGCGATATTTTAAAATTTACTTTTCAAAGTCTACGATATGAGTCGTAGATCCTCAGAAACTCTTAATGTTTTATCCCTTTCTATATCTTTCATTATTGTATCACTTTCAAAGATAGAACAGAGAAGTTTAAAGCAGTGCGCCATACCACTTTTAACTAGCGATAGTAAATTCAAAATTGAAAGGTCTGAAATTAATTTCATTGTACAGAAATTATCGAAATAATTTTTGCTAAAAATAAAAATTAACCACTGTTAAGAAAAGAATTTCTCGCTATCGTATCACTTTCAAAGATTGAACAGAGAAATTACAAACAGTGACTTTAATTCTTGTGAAATTGTAAACGAACTTAATAAGCGCGCTCCAATTATTCAACTACCCACATTTTTTAATTATTCAACACTCCCTGCCCGTAAGATGACAAGATCTCACCATCGAGCTAGACCCATAAACCCGAAAAACGGTCTCGTAAAACCGGCAAGTCCATTTCGTCGGCGTAAAAAGAAAATCGACGAGCCCTTTATCCCTGAAATATCATCTCGGTTCGTATTTCTCACGAAGGGCCGTGAGAGTTTAAGTGTGTTTCACTATCCGAAAGGCCAGGATTCCTCGGCATTAGATATCCGCTTTCGAACGAATCTCATCTCGCGAGTTTCGATTACCTTCAGATTAACTCCGTCCGCCATCGAAACTTCGTAATGACCTCTTCTCGATATGCTGACTCGAAGATCGTCGGGCATCGATAGAGTGCAGCTAACTGCTGACTGATCGTAGGACACTGTGGCATAGTTCTTGTGCTCGGCACGACACGTCAACAGGACAGAGACAAAGCTGTCCTCGATCAATACCTCGGTTATTTTCTCTTCTTGCTCCACGTTACGTCTCCACGACGAAGAAGCCGCCTCCTCGACGTTGCTAAGATTTGAAAACGAAGCGTACGTTTCCTCATCTTCTCTTCCACCGTCCGACGTGAAGTACAGCAGAATTTCTTCCTCGGTCCAGTCACACATCGCTGGTTCCTTTTCTATCGCGTAGCCGGTCGTGATACGCGTACCGTCTGAAACGTAACGTAGCTTTGAATTACAGAGGAACACAGCGTGAACGGAATCCCTCTGTAAAATTTGCGAAACCGTTCCACCGTTCTAGTTCTCTCTCGAAGATTTTCAAAGAAACAACGCACGGACATTATTTGGCTCTAATCTGTTAATTTCAATTCGTTTAAATTTTTTGACGAATTAGATAATATTTGACGATCGATGTTTACTTCTGCTAAAAAGCTCACAGTGCAGTAATTTTCAGAGAAAAGTAAAGAGAGAAGAGAAGAAGAAAAATGAAAAATGTTTCTTCTCAAGCATGCTTCTTTCTTCCCCTCGATTTATAGCGAATGTACATTACAAGCGACCAAATAACAGCTTCCCGAGAACTTATCCGAGCTAGTTCGAGAAGTAATGAATTTAAAAGCACTTAAGGCTGCCGTAGTTCTATTAAAATCGACATTATTGAAAATGGAGCAAACTTTTCTAACCGAGAGGAACTTCTTCTTTCACCGGAGAACGCGTATTAGGCGGTGTCGTAAAATCATTCGGCTTTACCTGTTTGATAATGGACTTTGAAAATGGCTGTAATCGCGATACCACCGATAGAGATTACATTGTCTTCTATAGTGTATTCTAATACAAACTTGTATTTTCGTCCTGTACAGGTTTCGCTACGTAAAACCTAATTATCTTCCCTAACTATGGTGGTAGGAGAAAATTTTTATACGTAATTTAAATGGTTTCAAAGGGCGAATATGGAAAATGGAAGAAAAAGTGTGCATACTTTTTCACGACGGTGTAGATCCTACGATACAGTGAAGAAAGTGAGGAAAAAGTGAAGAAAACTCTGGTGATTTTTACTTTGATCAACTGTTTTGATAGAAGTAGAAGAAATTTTGAGACAGAATAATCATTCGAAGGGAATATCTACACAATCGCGAAGCTTCGCTTTTCCTGTGAGTTCTTCAAACGTTTGTGGAACTGCGTTCAACGAGCAAACAAAATACAGCCGAGATGAGGAAAGTTCAGATGAAAGTTTACGAACTTGGCTTCCGCATACGTTACGCGAAAACGGTTTATACAACGTAGTCGCGAATGGTTGCATGATTTTTCATTGTTCCATAAGATAAATATTTACCTGGTGTGAAGAAGTACGGATAAGGATAAATCGCGATGAAAATATTTCAGAAAATTGCAAAAAAAGAAGAAACACGTTAAACTTATTTCATTCGAAACGATTCTACGTAGGTTATTAGAGAAGTTCTATTTGGTATTCAGCGGAATAGAGGAATTATTAAACACCGAGACTTTCGTTCGTGTTGTTTGTCTCGATTAGAAAATTTCGCGATGTTATCGAATGAAATACGGTAGCGTGCAGAAAGTGAAATTCGTTCTGCGAAGTGGCAGGTACGTTGAAACCTACCTGGAAATCTGACAATCAATTCTCCATTGGACTTAAGCAACATGTTGGTGCCGTCAGCGCGACGTGTGAATTTCTCGTCAACCTCGTAGTCCGACGCCATTCTCACGAGTAATCGATGCTGTTCACTTACGACCAAGTCGTCGAGCACCTCGTACCGCCCACCATCATGATTCAGGACCGTGTACCGTGACACTTTGACCGTATTGTCCGCCATTGACAAGATGCTGTCATGTTTCTGGAGGCAAGTCATGTTCGACTCAATGAGAACGAACGGTTTCTTAATGGGTTCATTGCTACACGATTCACAGTGACGCGAGAGATTTTTTAGCAACTACAGCTTCACCTGAGAGCACTGTGAATTTTTTAGTAAAAAAATATTTCTTGGTTAATTCTTTTGTTGCAGTTTGCTTTTCTATACCGATTTAATTTTTGGGAAATTCTTGAATGCCACTGTGTAAACTGTACAAAAGTTTAATTTCAAATTTAAAATATAGAAAAGAAGGAGTTTCCATTTTTAAAACATCTCTGAGCAATTTTTAGGAAAGTTTTGAATGCCACTGTGTATCGTCTGTTTATTTTAGTTCCACAAAAGTTTAATTTCAAATAAAAAAAGGGAAGAATGTTTGAAAGAAAGACAAAAAGCTCTACATGTTTTATCTTTGCAAGTGTGCAATTAATCGAATCAACCTATGCTCCCTATCAACGAGAATGAAATATCGATGTGTTAAGCGTCTCGCAAGACCTGAATTATTGTCTTATTGGATCAGATTGTTCTGGTGCTTGGGTTAAAACGAAATTTAACGGACACTTGATTCACCGTCGTGGAATTCTGCTGTGCAGACGCAGGATCTCCCTCGACCGCTCCAAGCAATCGAGTCTTCGAGGGACTTGTCGGTTTCTTTCTAGTTTTAGCTGCAACCTTAGACGCCCTGTTTGGTCTGTCACCTTTAAAAAACAGAAGACATATTGGCTTGTATATTTGCAATAAATTCTCAGTAATATTTTCTCCAAAATTTTGATTCAATGTATCTATAATCACATTTTCATTATTAGCAATTATTGTGATACAATAACATTCTGACCTTCAATAACGAAAATTATATTCGTTTCCTAAATAAAAATATCAGTTACCAACGATCTCTAATTCGTATGAAATATTTTCAATTCTGACGATATGTTATGCATCATTTTGCAATAGTTACCTGAAGAATTGACACGTGAATGTTTCGAAGCTCTGGTCTCGTTGTCCTTGTTTCCGTTTTGCTTGGTTTCCAGTTTCTCGAAAGCTGTACAGGTTACAATTACTCCATTGGGGCGGAGAACAATTACTGTACCGTTGTCTAGGTATTTCAGAACTGTTCCATTTCTCAGAAACTTTCTGCAAATTTCACAATTTTCCTCTTTGTCGTTACGTCCCTTTTGTATGTAGGATTGTTGAATGTAATACGGATTCTGCGGTCCATCTCCGGTTATAGGTTTTATCTGTAATCCTGTCGGCCACGAGGCCCTAATTTCGACGTTCACGTCTTGCCAGTTATATTGGAAGGAATTCAATGACACATCTGAAGACATCAACACACGAAGAAAATTATGCTTGTTGAAAAATGGTTGCAAGCAATACTTATTTTTCAAATATTAGCACTTACGAACTTTGAATATTTCCAAGTTAGATTCCTATGGTTCCCCAATTAACAAATTAATTAATTATATACACACATATATTATTGTACGACGCAAGATGAAACAATTCATGGAAGTGCACTATCAAATCTCGCTGGTAACACGATTTCAAAGTTCGTTATGTACAAGTATATGAAACTTGTTACTTGCAACTAAATTCGAACGTCACTTCCATGACATGTTCTTCAACTTCACCTACAATATTAATTTATCTCGTGCATGTCGCATGATAAGATCCAACAAAATATGTATGTACGAAGCTGCGTCTGATAATGTTCTCAAGTTTGAACTCTGTACCTTTGCACTGGTGAATGTAACAAATTTACGAATCTTATAATTTTTCTCTGATTAGCTGTACATCTACCATTTGACAATTTTTACCGAATTTACTTTGTATGAAAACTGAACTCTTTCAATCTGCTGCACAATTACATTTCTTAGACGTACTATTAACTAATATTTTTAGCAATATATTTAATACGCTAAAATATAATATATTTTATAAAAAATAATATTAAGAAAAAGAGAAAAATGTTTAAAATTTAAAGAATACTCAGAAGCCTCACGTTGTGACGTAGGTAGTTTCTGGAAAGCAAGAATGATCCCTGTTTTACTCGTCAAATGAAATATCTCGTTCGTTTCGTGACTGCTGATTCTATGGAACAATCGTAAACTATATCCATGTAGAGTAACCGTGATGCGTAAATCCTTGTTTTTATAAAGCCAATCATCCATCTCGGTTTCAATCAAAGTACCATCAGCAGAGTAGAACGTCTTCTTAGTATTCGTTACTTGCACGCGTAATTGTCCAAGTTCGTAGCCTACAAAATCGTAAACCGCCTCTTTTTCACCGCTGCTATAAATTGACAAGCTTTTCTTCTCATCTTCGGTTGATTTCTTCGAGATAGTTCGAAGGCCGGTTGATCTGTCGCTCTTCTTATTTTTCTTGGGGCTCTCCTTTTCTGTCTCCTTTTCTTTCCCTTTCTTTCTACTCTTTATTGTCTCTTCGACGGAAGACTCAGATGGTACATCTGTGAATGAAAACCGTAAGTATTATTGCTTTTGTCCATTTCGGATATTTTTAATCTGGTACTTCTTAAACGCCGATGTCAGCGATATTCGCGGGGTGTTGCAGCAATAACTGAAATAAATATTCGGTCACAATGTACAGAAATATTCAGAGGAAATAAATTCGTTATCCTCGTAACACATTGATGCATTAATGTCATCTTTTGTGTGTTAAAAAGTTTCTTGTACAATTTCACTTTTAAAATATGTGTATTCATTCTTATCTTTGATAAACAAATTTTGAGTCTAAAGTATGGAAAATTTATCTAAATCCAATAAAATAATTTGCTATAAATATGACGAGCACAAAATAAATTGTTACCTACTTTAAAATAAATAACTTCACTGATTCAAATAAAAGAAAAATAGTATTATAATTAGTACTCCTAGAGAGATAAAAATTAACCACGACACGTCAAAATGTTGACAATTAGCAACACCTATTGTAATTGTGCCTTGGTAACCATTAAATTCCTAAAACATATTTTTACATCTCTTTTTTTTATTTAAGAATTTGAAACCTCAGATAAGGTCCATTTCTTGTACAGAATTCCTTGAATTTTCAAGTACACAAGGTACACAAAAATAGATAACTCATTTAGAAATTGTTAGAAAAAAAAAAAACAGCATAGAAAATAGACAGCTAAACGACGGAACTCTTTCTTACCTACTTCCAAATTACTTTTTTCCTGATCAAACTGCCTGCTTATTTCCAGATCTTTGGCTTTCAGAGTCCCCGGCAGAATGAAGTCCTCGTCGCGGAACAACATCGTCCCGTCGTATATCTCTGTGCTCTTCCTCATCAATCTTTCCATCGACTCGGCCGTCTGCAATCTGTACATTTCTTCCTCCTGTCGTAGCCAATCCTCTTCTTCGGGCACCACGTATTTGCAGAAATCACGAAGACGAACCGGCGTCCGAATGCTAGACATTCTTTCTTCCTCGCTCGCTCCATTGATTCTCCACTTGTTACCGTGGTAGAGTAACAGAGAATCCGTAGGTTCGAAGTATCGATACTCCATGTGATCGAACGAATGGAGACACTCGTGAAGTAGCTGGAGAAAAATTCGCTCGGATAATAATTCGACGTCGCTGAAATCTTCCAGCCGCGGTCTGTCTGTCGTTCTCGTTTTAAAAACGTTCTCCTCCAAGTAACCGGGGACTAATAATTCACGAGGATCTATCAGATCGAACAGCGTGGAGCATTCGATGATTTCTGGAAAGATTTTCCCGTAATCGATGTTACCGTCGCTGAGAAAATTCACTTCCGGCGTGGATTTCCAGGTTAGACTTGGAAGTGACTTGCAACGTTTCATTGAAAACGTTACCGAATCATGTGTACGCATCGCGTTTTCCGTTTCTGTTGTCGTTTCTAAGGTTTCATTGTTATTTCGTAACAATCCGAATATTAGTTTATCGAACGTTAGAACGTGTAGATAATGTTTAATCTCTTCGTTACTTATTTCAACGTCGAAGTAACGACGGATGTTGTCAATGTGACGAGAGTACTTGTTCAGTTTTTTAACGGAGATTTCGTGGCGTTCGAGCAGACGCGTGATATTCGGATGCCGGAAAATGGGTAGAATGTTGTCGATCAAATCTGTCGCTTTTGGGATTGAGCGAGCAATTGCGGAGTCATCGAGAAGACGAATCACTTCGTTCATGCTATCTCCATGAAGAATTAATTCAATGTCAGAAACGTTTTGTTCGCTCTTATCGATGCTACATTCTTCGAGATTTAACTTCATGTTAAGGCTCTCTATTTTTTGTTCCAACATTTCAACGGGAGATTGACTGCTAGTTTCAGCTTCCTCTTCCGCATTTGAGCTACTCTACGAGAAGTTGTTGCAAATTATTTCCGAGTTCCATTATTGCTAGTCTGACTTTTTAATTTACTCCATAAATAATATTATAAACTAATATTGTTATAGTATGATACTAGTAATACTACATATATAGTACAACTAATTGTTAATTACTTATAATATAATTTGTAGAGCAAATTGAAAACTCAGATGGAAGCAATAATGGAACTCGAAAATAATTTGTTACAAGTTTGTAGTAAATACGAATCACTTTTTTGTGAAATTACTAATTACTAAAGTTAAATATTTTATCATCACTTTTTTGGATTGAAGCATAATTTCTTGTACACTGTGTATCAGAATCTCTACTATACTCAAATTTTCACAAGAAATTGAATTACACAAATAAGTAATTCTTTTACATAAATTATCGAAAAATATATATTTCCACGTATATTCCAAATGTGAAAAAATATTACTTTTCCCATTGACCTCGCGTCGCCTTTCTCATCGACAGAGTTTTCCATCGCAATTCCTCCGTCATCCGCCTCAACTTGCACCAACATTGCAAACAATATCAGCGGCACTGAAACACACTCCATAGGAAGCGCATCCAGAAAGGTTTTATAAACTTCCGTATTCACTTTCTCCGTCGTTCCTTCAGTGACACCCCTCTCCAGTTTCATGCTTTTCAAATAGCTACCATGCTGTCGATAAAGATCGTAAAAATCGTATACAATATACGACAGCCTGTCGTACATATCTTTCTTCAGGATTTCGTATTTTTCATCGGAATAAGTCTCCGGCAGTTGCGGTGGGCAAAATACAAGAAACGCGACGTCGCAGTATTCCGGATGCGCTGCCGGATTCATTAATCGCTCCTCCACTTTCGTCCAAAAATTGAACAGTTCAAATTTACCGACACTGTACATCTGAACAAAGTGTAACTTCTTTCTGTTCGAAGGCTTCTCTTTGTACGACACCGAACGATCCAGCTGTTCCCTCGGTCTTTTAATTTGCAACAGTAAGTTCAACGGTACACCAGCGTTGACCAAGTGTTCCGGTAAATCTGGATTATGGAAACCGGTGAGAATTACGTAGAGATTCGGTCCATCCACCGGTGCATCGTCCACGTAAACAGTATTTCGCCATTCCTCGCCGCGTTTTCGTAGTTTCGTGTTCGCTTTGCTATCGAATTTCTCCGCGTCGAACTTCTTCCCTCCTGGCTGGCCTGTGAAGAAAACACACCGATCGAAAGTGGGCCGATTTAATTAACTGTTTGCTTCACCGTTCTTTTATATGCACGTACTTTGGTGGAGTAAAGGAACGAGTCGTGTTGCTTCACCTTGTTTGTGTTTTCAGCGAGGAAAGCGAACGCAACGTGGGTTGTGAAGCGAGGTTAGGTGGGAAAATAGTAGTGAAATTAGAAATTTTGAAAGATGGAATACTTCCATGAGATACTCTGATTTTTAGGGGTTTTGGGTGAGTAGATGGGTTTTCACTCACAAGGGTAGTTGTACAACATGAAGACTCAAAGAAATTTGAAAGTTTGCAGAAGTGTAATTCAAGTGACGACTTTTTATTCCGGCAATGAAACGGTGTGGTTTTAGAAACAATGTGGAAACCATTGTGGTGGTACACGCTGTTTTTCAAAATTTATCCTCACTGCTTCTTTTCCCCCAAAATTGTTTACCATCACAATGTAGGACTTTAGAAACCACACAACTTTGAATTTAACTTTTTTGAATTTTCCGGAGGTGTTTTCTAGGACCTTTTCATTCAGGTGGCCACGCGTTCTTCGTTCACTCACGCAATTATCATCCCAGACTAAACATTCACATATTCTATCACCGCACAAAATTCGACAGCTTCCCATTCGAATCTATCATTATTACCGTAATTAATATCGAACCACGTGCACCTAATTAATTATCCATAGACATTAACAAGATCATTTTGTACATGTTTCTATCAGCAGTAAAATCGATATATCAACCAGTTCGCATACCCCAATCAGCAACTGTCTGCATAATCCAATACTCCTCGTCTATCTCGCGGTCCAGGTCAGCCAGCTTTTTCGCCATGACGATGTTCTCTTCCCTGGCCCGATATATTAGGTACTTGATGATCCGCGCCATCAGCCAGCTCGGCAGTGCGTCGTTGTTCTCGTTGGAAAGCTTGCTCGCGTAATGACATACGCCCTGAATCGTCGGACATTTATCTAGGCCCTGCGTCGACAACGCTCTCACGCTGGCCAGCGTTTTCTGACAGCTCAGAGAGTAAATGGCCTTTCGCCTACCCTCTTCAGCGGCCGCGTTGAAAATCGACACGCACCTCGAGTGCTCGGTAATCGTCTCGACCATCATGGTCACGATGCACCACCAGTCGTCGTCGTTGATCAGGATCGACTCCAGTGGTTCGCGCCAGGAATTCTCGTCTGTCTGTTTCCTCGGTTTGGCGTCCGAAGCCTCGGATTTCGACGTCTTCTTGCGTTTCTGCATCGTGGACGAGTTCCTCGTGTGCTAACCTTTGAAACGACCGCTGTCAATTTTTCTTAGGGTTATGTGTGATTGATCGATGGTCGAATGACAGCGTGAAGCTAGATGATGGTTTATTGAAATGTCGAAAATGATTGTACTATATTCAGGGTGTATTTAAGATTGTGGTGTATGGTCGGAAGGCTGAAATTGTATTTTCAATGTTTGTGTTGTGAGTTTTAATTTTTAAAAGATTATTCGAGCTTGAACTTTTGGTTTATTGCAAAATCTTTAAGTCGTTGCTCTGTTTTTAATTATTGTAAATGTGTGAAAAATATAGCGACGGTGATTTATTTTAATATTTAGAAATGTGTTTCGTTGTGATTTATTTCTAATATTAAAATGTCACGCAGTCTTTAAATCATTGCTTTCAATTACTGCAAATATGTGGAAAATATGGCGATACAAGGGGTAATTTATTTTAATACACAGTAACAAGTGTTTAGCTAATTATTACACTAATTGTAAGAAGCTTTTTCATCTTTTGCTGCTTTTTCAAGCCACAGGAACGTATAATGATAAATTTGATAAAAGTTAAAAATTAAGTTGAACGATAAAAATTCGAAAAATGATATTTTGTAATCTTGTACAGTACAAAGACTACCGATGCACAAAAATATCACTACAAAATTCTCATTATAATCTGAGACACTTAGATACACGCCAAAAATAAAAGTACATATCATATTACCACATTTGCCTTTATTTAAAAAAGCTACATAAAGGAAACTCATTCTGGGCCATTTCTTAACTCTCACATTCTCTAATTACTTCAAAAATATGACTCGAATTTCCCCCTTCTAAGACAGACCGATTAAAACGAGATATTTTAACGCGTAAGTGATATCCCAGCCGACAAACGCGATCCTTAATTAACAAAGTTAACGTCACGGAACGGTGTACACCTAACGCGCGTTTAACGAGGTGAATCCGAAATTTGTCGAGCGAGTCGAAAAGGTGGACACCAGTCATTCGACTGTTAATTTTCGAGTGACGTTAAGACGCTAATTGTAAGTTGCAGTTCTAACGGCTCCTTCTGATCTCGCGACGTCACGCCTGTGTGACTCCGTTAACGTTTGATATCTATCGCAACGATGGCGATTTAGCCGCGCGCAAATTACGACGCCAGGTTGCGGACTCTGGGTCAAGACTCGCGAGCCCGCGATAAAATACTGCGTTCATTAATTAATTCGCCGGTGAAATATCGCGGCGATACGTCACGCGGCAAGTTGGCTCGAATCTCGCGACAGTTTTGTTAATGGACAACGTTTCTTCGCGTGGCTGCCGTATTCGCGGATCCATTAAGCAGCGAGCACAGGCAGGAGAGCGCGTGGGAATTAAATGAAAAGAATAGCACGGCTGCCTCTCGCCCCCTCTTGGGGCGTGGAACGAGGGAGAGAGACAGTCGATGTACTCTACCCCCGTAACGATTATGAAAACGGCGGGCAGATGCGAACGAACTGTGAACTCGTTGCGGGAAAGCAGAGAAGAGAGAGGGAGAGAGGGAAAAAAGAACGAAACTGGCGCTGATGCTGATGACTACGACGACGACGACGACGATGATGATGATGATGATGATGATGATGCTGGTGATTAGGAAATTGAAGATGAGGAACTTTGTACAATTGCGCGGGTTCACGTTCGCGGGCTTTTGAATTCACGCGGGGAAATTTCGCGGCGAATCGTGCTTGTGAATGACGACGACCCTTTGTACTTAGCTGTGTCGGGCTTTAAATCCTTGTCTCTGCTTCTCGGTGGAAAATTCAATTGATTTTCGTGCACCTTTGAAAGTGATATTTGAACGCGCAATGTTAAAGGGTTAACGATGAATTTGGAAGTTGGATTTAATTGGTGGAATAATTTAGAGAACTTTTTAGAGGTTTGTAGATTAGAACGAACCGTTTGTTGCTGATTGTTGGTAATAACATTCGGGATTTGTTGGAATTTGCACGTAGTATGTTAATTAGAAAATTTCTCGAGGAGAAAATTTAGCTTTATTGCGTAGCTAGTGGACCTTGCTGAGCAATGTGTTTCCTTGTCGATTCTAGATAGATACACACCGATTGGTTGATCTGAAAAATTTCTCGAAATTAATCTGTGTGCATAATTAATATCGCCAACGATTTTAGCATGATTTTACTTGGAAGGGAGTTTGAAGTAAAATTTATTTGAAAATTGGACATTTTCCGAAATATCTGAAATACCCTGGCGGTAAGATTGCACGAAAATTTCCTCGATAAGTGCAGTTTCGATGGCGTAAATGTTGAAAACGAAAACGATTCGTAAAGCAACATTAATTGCGACCGCTTTACCCCGTGTCTATGTAGACCTCTTCTAATCCGGCGAAATTCCTTGGCTCGTGCAAACTTGTTGAAACGAGCTTTGTAAAATGCGTGGCACGACAGCGATTTGAGGGGCGCGCGGAACCCGCCAGCGGCCAGAACGCGTTAAGGAAAACTTACAAAAGCTGTGTAACACGGGAACGTGAAACAGGCCGCATAAAGTGGGATAAAAAGTTCACGAACGCGGAACCGCGGCAGGGAGAGACAGAGAAAGAGGGAGAGAGAGAGAGAGTTTTCAGGATATCCTTGTTGGGTGTGAATCGTCGGAGGAATAAGGCGAACGCCTCGAACAGGATCAATTATTAAGCGAGAGTTTTCTCAAGTTGAAGCAAAGGGGACTTGAGTTTTTCCGAAGAATTTTTGCTTCGAGTGGCTTTCTGTTTGATGAAAGGAAATTATACCTCTCGAATTAAGCTGCTTTATAAAGTTCTATCTGTATAGTTGCTCAACTAGCTCATCTTTTTCATCGGAAAGTTCGTTTCGCGATTTCCCTGAAAATTGTTTTTTCTTTTTAAATTGTAACTCAATTATCAGGTTCAAGAAACTGTTAAGTGGGATCAGATCGATGTTTTGGGATTACCTAAAAATAACGAAACTATGGGGTGGCCACTGAAAGAAGGGTTTGAAAAAGTCATAACTTGTTCATTTTTAATCTTTTTTATTTTCTTTTTTTGTAAATTATAGAGCATTCCTTGGAGATTAAAATGGCTACGTATGATGCCCAGCAACGAGTAAAACTCATTGAGTTTTTCTATTCCAGTGAAAGATCAATTATTCAAACTCAGAGAAAGCACCGAAGAAATAAATGCTGAATTTGTTTAGCCTCCGCGTTCACCAGATTTGACGGCACCAGACTTCTTTCTGGGGAGCTACTTGAAAGAACGGGTTTACGTAAATAAACCTCGAACAATTCAAGAACTTAAGGAGAACATTCGAGTTTAGGACCCGAAACCTTGCGTACGGTCATGGAAAATGCTGTGGAAAGAGCCTGTATTTGTGAGCAGGAAAGTGGTGGTCATTTGAGAGATGTTGTTTTTCACGCATATTACTGAAAAAAATCCATTAATCATATTTCCAAATAAAATAATAAAAAATTTGAAAAACATGTGTTTGTAAAAGTTATTTTTGTTTCATATCATTCAGTCTTTCAGTGGCCACCCTGTAGTAAGAAAGGATAGCAAATAATGCTTCAAAGGATCAATGTGTATATAATATTTTTTTCTTACTTGTACTCATACAATACACCGACAAAGTTTACTGACTGAGAAGCGACAATCTTTCCGCCTTACAGCATCGATATTCCGGATAAATGTTTAGAAAGCGTTATACCAGCCCGCGGCGTACAAACAATTTTGTAAATTTCAAAATATCCACCCGGTTGTTCCAACATTTGCTCGAGTGTGTCCATACGGGGGATTTCGTTCTCCACGGCCAAACACTCGCGACTTGAATCGAGATCCGCCGTTTGTTCTGGTATGATTTACCCCAGTGATCGTCAAATGCGTCGCGTCAACACGGCAAAGAGAACGCCTCGGGAGGAAACTTCGCCATTTATTCCGCCCATCGGAATATCTCCCGAAAGCGTTTCGGAAAGTTTCGCGACAGAAAAGAGAGCACGCTTCGAGCTTGACGCGTAGCGTAATGTCCGAGGCGGGACGTCGAGACGTCCCGCAGACTCGCGCGTAGTATTCGATAAGGATAAAATTGATTCTCTATCGATTGTACGCTCGCGTGGTAGTTTCAAAGCGTGCACCTATATTTCAATTTTCAATACGTCAGGTGTTGTTATAGGTGCTTTGAAAATTTGCTCGCACTTTAGCACACTTTCACCGTAACTTAATCCTTCATTTTTGTCCCTCCTGCGTTTCTCCCTTAATTTAATCCTTTGGCTACGGCACTGTTGACCGAGCGTACACTTCAGCGACAGAACTTAACATTATTTTTTTCGTTATTTTCACAGATCCTAAGACAATACGACAAAACACGCTGGTAAAAGTAAATCTAAAATAAAATTAAAAAGTAAAAGGTCGCTCTGAAGATATCAAGCTATGCTATGTTCCAAATTTTCATGGGTGACTATAGTCGCTGATAGGATATAGCGAACGCTCTACAACGGCTGACTACAGTCACTGTTAATAACGAAAGAGTTAACTCGACCTTTCTTCTATAAGGAAGTAGCAAGAATGAACGTAACTTTTTAGAACTAATATTTTTATCAGAAGTTGGTTCTTTCAAACTATTTCACTGCTGAGATCTCTAAACATGTAGTGAACAATTCACGGAGGTCCATAGACCTGCTGTCTTGGAAAATATCGTCCTTAGAGTTGCCTCTAATGGTAAATATAATGTCGCTTTTTAGCCGCCTCTCGAGTGCAAAGTGTCAACAAAATAAATTTTAAATCGACGCGGTAGAAACAAAAGATTTCGCGACCGCGATTGAACGTCTATCCTAAAATCGACCGCAGCGAAAGTGTTAATAATTCCTCTTCTTCTTCTTCGTGCGTCTCAAAGCATCCCCGAAGAATTTGAAGACAGTACACGCTTTAGGAACATCCACGCGCGTAATATCCGAGAAGAGACGTCGAGACGTCCCGTGAAATCACGCGGAAGACTTGAAATAAG